GCCCAACTATCAGAAGTCATGTTTCGGTTGGGAAGGCTTTGGATGCACTGTGAGAGCGAAGCGTGTCGAGACCCGGAGAAAGTATACGAATGTTTCCAGGCGATGCCATTATGAGGGCGGAAGGTCACCCCCAAATTACCGAAGACGCACGCGGCGTCCTTCCGTCTGCTCGGTTCAGAGGTGGAGCTGGTGGCACATGGCGAGTCACCGCCGCCCCATGCCTTTCTGGAAACGAGACGTTCGGCCAAGGTTTGGTCAAGCCAAGGGGTCATGCAATCGCGTCCCCTCCCCCGCATCAGGAAGCGTTTCATCCTCCTCCTCCTCCTCCTCCTCCTCCTCCTCCTCCTCCTCCTCCTCCCCAATGCTGCGATGCACCAGGAGGCGAACTAGCAGCCACACACGCATGTTTCTGCCGAGGCGCCTGTGGACGAGCAGGAAGGCAGCCCACCAGGCTCAAGCGTCCGTCCTGGCGGGGCGGGGCGGGCGTCGGCGATGGAGAATTGGCAGGGCACGAGCTTGAACCAGAGGCAGTTCTTCGAACAGCAGGAGGCCATCCCCGTGGAGATAAGCCCGCCAGAGCCAGACCTGGCACCGCTGGCGTCGTTCTCCACCGCGGCAGGCATCCACCAGCACCTGGCACGGAACATCACGGCGGCCGGGTACCAGCAGCCGACGCCGGTGCAGAAGTGGGGCATCCCCCTGGTGCTGGCAGGCAAAGATGTCATGGCCTGCGCGCAGACGGGCAGCGGCAAGACGGCTTTCTACCTCTTCTCGGCGGCGAGCGAGGGAGGGGAATGAGAAGGAGAAGGCCTTCTCAGAAGGCGGCGGGACTTCTCAGAAGCCTTCGCGCCTTCTGAGAAGTTGTTTGTCTTCGGGGAAGACTTGAACAACTTCTCAGAAGGCTGGGGAACTTCCGAACCTTCTGGGAAGGCCTTCTCTTTCTCACTTCCCCTGCTCGCTCGCCGCCGATCTTCGGGCCCATCAACGCGATGCTGTCCCAGAGGCCCTCGAAGCAGGAGAACCCCGCAGCGCCAGCGGTGCTGATCTTGGGCCCCACCCGCGAGCTCTGCACGCAGATCCACGAGGAGGCGCAGAAGTTCACCCGAGGGTCGCCTCTCTCCGCGGGGATTGTGTACGGAGGTACGGACTACAAGGAGTCCTTCCGGCAGCTGCGTGGCGGCGTGGACATCCTCGTCTCGAAGAAGAAAAAACGTTGTTAACATAGACTTTCGGCGCTCTGCGCGGATTTCTTGGATCTGCGCTGGGCCCCCTTGGCGGCGCCTCCGGCGCCGCCCTTGGCGCGCTCCGCGCGCCAGGGAAGAGGGTCTAGCACAGATCCAAGAAATTCGCGCGGAGCGCCAAAAGTTCATGTTTATGCCTTTTTTTGTTCCTCTATCGTCGCGACGCCCGGACGCTTGCAGGACCTGGTGGAACGCAAGGCGGTTTCCCTGCGGTCCATTCAGCAGTTGGTCATGGACGAGGCCGACAGGATGCTCGACATGGGCTTCGAGCCGCAGATCAGACAGATTGTCCAGAAGAGCGGCATGCCCAAGGACCGCCAAACTGTGATGACGAGCGCCACCTTCCCCACTGACGTGCAGCACATGGCGCAGGAGTTCATGCGATCGTACTCTTTCCTGGCCGTTGGGCGCGTTGGCGGTACCGCCAGCACGATAAATCAGAGGCTCGCTTGGGTTGAGGACGCCGACAAGGACGCGTTCCTGCTCGGCTTGCTGCTGCACCAACGGACCCTGGGACTCATGCTCGTTTTCGTGAACACCAAGCAGCAGGCCATCGACCTGGAGCGCTTCCTGGGAGGCTGTGGGTTCCGCCCCGAGAGCATCCACGGCGACCGCGACCAGAAGCAGCGGGAGGCAGCCCTGCAGGCGTTCAAGAGTGGTGCGTCCCCCATCTGGGGTTGGACGGAAGGGGGATAGCCTTGGCATCGCTCGGACGCGTGCATTCTTCCTTCGGCGAGGACCATCGAGGAGCATCCTTCATCAGTTGGCGAAAAAACGACGCACGAAACCTTGAAAAAAGCACAGGGAGTGGACGTCCGAGCGATGGCCCGTATCAGGAATGGGGGGCTGCGACGTCTGCCGCAGGCAGCTGGCCTCGGCCCCCGCCGCCGGGCGCCTCCCCTCGACATACCGCGGCGAATCCCGGCGCCAGGAGGCGCCAGGAAAACAGGCGTGGGTTCGTCAACCCTCAAGTCGGGCGTGTCCCCCTACAGGGGGATCTTCGACGCAAAATGAGAAACACCCCCAAAATAGTAAACAAAACAAAAAAAAAATACTCCAAAAATAGTCCGGTGACTATTTTTCTTTAGTCTTTTTTGACCTTTTTGGAGCATTTCTGGTGTATTTTGAATGTTTCGTCGAAAATCCCCCTGTAGGGGGACACGCCCGAAATAACTTTACCATCACCCCCTTTTCGTCCGACCCGGCCATCCTCATCGCCACGGACGTGGCCGCGCGCGGTTTGGACATACCGAACGTGGCCGCGGTGGTCCAGTACGACCTGGCGAACTCGGTGGACGACTACGTCCACCGCATTGGGCGCACGGGCCGCCTGGGGAAGAAAGGAATTTCGGTGGGCATGGTGAACAACCGGCAGATCGGGAGAAGGAGAAGCAACACCACCACAACCTCCAATGGGGGGCACCTCCAGCGAGGAGGTCCACGATGCCTCCCCGAGTTAGGGATAGGGGATGTCTCGAGCAAGAGGGGGGGACCACACCACCAGGGGGATCCCCCCTGGCTCCTCCCGCTGGTGGTCCCTGGTGGTGGTGGTGGTGGTGGTGGTGGTGGTGGTGGTGGTGGTGGTGGTGGTGGTGGTGGTGGTGGTGGTGGTGCCGCTTTTTCTTGTTCCTAGGCAAAGGGGCGTGGCGGCAGACTTGTGCGCCGTGCTCGAGGAGGGTGGCCTCAAGCTCGGGGGCGTCCAGGGGGGGGGGCGAGGACGGGGAAGGGGGGGCACCATGGCTGGGGTCCAGGCCATACTGTCTCTCAGATGCCACGCCCCCTCCTCGTCCTCCAGCAGGTGCGCCGGCCCCCACTCGTCCGCGCACAGGGCGCGGACCACGATGCGCCCCCCGCCCGCTTCCTGGCCCCCCCTCCCTGGCGCGCCCGGCAAGCCCCCCGCCTTCTTGATGGGCATGGCGCTGTCCACCGGCGGATACCAGCCTGGCAGCGGGGGGGACAGGCAGTACGGCGGCCAGGACGTGCGGCGGGGGCTCCGCAAGGGCTTCCAGACCGCGGAGGAGCGCGAGCAGGCCAGGAGGTTCACCAGCTTCGCGAAGGACGCCTACGGCCAGGGCGACCAGGCCAAGGCCCAGGAGGCCGCGCTGAGCGTCGGCCCCAGCGCGCCAGGCTCCTACCAGGGCGCAGCCGCCACGTCGGGGAGGGGCAGGGGCGGCAAAGGCAAGGGGAAGGGCGGCAAGGACAAGGGCGGGGGCAGCAGGCCCGCCGAGGGAGGCGCCGCAGGCTGCGGCTCCGTCAGGGCGCCCTGGGGGCACGTCGCGGGCGGCGGGGCGGCCGCGGCGCAGCAGGCGCCCTGGGCAGGCGCCCCGCAGCAGATGCCCTGGGCCTGCGGCCACCAGCAGCCGCCGGTGGCCGCCTACGGCATGGGCTGCGGCGGCTGGGGCTGCGGCGGCTGGGGCGCCGGCCCCTACGGCGGCATGCAGTGACGTGCCCGCATGGGGGGGGAGGATTCCTCCTCCGCCTCCTCCTCCTCCTCCTCCTCCTCCTCCTCCTCCTCCTCCTCCTCCTCCTCTTCCTCCTCCTCCTCCTCCTCCTCCCCCTCCTCCCCCTCCTCCTCACCCTCCTCCTCCTGCGGCGGCGCCTGAGCGCCAGCCCCTGCGTCGGCACTTCACCGACGCACCCGCGGTGGAGCGAGGGGCTGCGGCGGCTGGGGCGCAGGCCCCGACAGCGGCATGCAGCGGCAAGTCCTTCGCGGTGCAGGCGGTCGCCGTCGGCCTGCCGAGCCAGGAGTCGCCATGGCCGGCTCGACGCTCGGGCTTGTCGACCCCTTGTCCGTCCACCACCCCTCCTTCTCACCCTCCTGACAACTCCTTCCCGCCCTACTTACCCTCCTCAGCAGCCTTTCTCTACTCCACGATATCACTCAATATGAATACCTCTCACACGTGATATTGCACACAGGGTGTCAGTATGTGAGAACTCTTCTTTGCAATGCGTTCAATCAATCGATCGAAGTGTTCTTGGCGCTTCGCAGCCACCCCGGCATGGAGACCCCAAAGAGCGACGCTACACGAAAAGTTCATGAGAACACACACGATGTCTGGAAGTTAGGGACGGCACCAAACGCGCACTGCACAGCACGCGCACGGCAAGGCACGGCACGGCACCTGTATCGCGTTCTAGAGCTCAGGCACGGTGTCTTGGTGACATGGTTATTTTGTTGTTGGTTTTGTGTAGCGTTTTGAAGCTGCCCTGTCCCGTCTGCCCAGGGTGGCCAGAAGTAGGCACGGATCGGAGCTGAATGTGTTGCTGCCACTTGCCCGGGGACTTTCAACACGACGCGAATGGCCCGTGACCATGACGTGTTCAATTGTTTCTGGTCCCCACGGTTCTCCCATTTGGTGTGGGGCACACAGAGTAGAGCATCCAAGTGTTTATACGCACCTTGAAATCCTTCAGCTCAGCGATCTGGCCCCTGAGAGTCTCCATGGCGACTGGAGAGGCGAGAATTACTGAAATGATGGATTTCGACGTCCTGGCATACCGAAATCCATCAGTTCAGTAATCCTCGCCTCCCCAGTCGCCATGGAAACGCTCAGGGGCCAGATCGCTGAGCTGAAGGATCTCAGGGGGCGTAGTTTCGAGGCCCCACGCCATCGGATGGACAGCAGTGAAGAACGGAGAGCCGCCAGGCAGACCAGGACCAGCGCTTGTCCATGCCAAGGGGGGGGGAACATGCTGAGCAAACATAGGCCCCTCCTCACGCTTGTCCACCTTAGGACCTATCCGCCAGCTCCAGCGACCACGGCCCCGGGGAGCGTTGTTGATTAACTCCCATGCCCGCAGCCACGAGCCATCCGTAGCCATTTTGGCTCAAGCTGTTTCATGTCAGGAGTGCCCTCCGACCGCACACGATCAAGTCAGACGGAGGATGTCTTCTAATTCGAGAATAGTGGTGATGGTGTTGGTTCTGAGTAGGACCCTCAGTTTCTTTGGCGTCGGATGATGTCATTGCCATGATGCCGATTAATCTATCTGAAGGGGAGGTGTAGGAGTTCCCCGGAATTCTTCATTTTGAGCCCTGGCTCTCGGTGGTGTTACGATTCAGTGCGCGGCGGTGATATTGCAGTTGACCTCTCCGCTGGCACTACGATCGAGTTTGATTGGGTGGCTTCTTCCGATGAGCCGAAGTACATTAGAATCGATGGCACAGACAGGACCGAAATTCAATTTCAAGCGACCTATGACTGTGGATATGATGCCAGCCTTCCTTTCCAGCAGTTTATCGGAGCTAATATCACGGATGAAGTCGACGCCCTTCGATCATGACAATGTTTCGCAGTCGTACACTTACAACTCGTCCTCGTCTTTTGTAACCCTTGGCAAGTGTGACGGATGTGGTTGTTGTCAGATCGTTACCAGGTTGCAGTTCGATCCAGAAGTTGAAGGGTTGAAGATAAGTTTCCAGATGGTCGGTCGCCTACGATACATCGAATGTGGTTGCCGATGAGCAGGTGTATCATTGGTCTGCGAGTGGCGATTATTGGATGAGGGTCACAGGACAATGCGTACGCTATTTCGGAATTGCCTTCGCCCACCCCAGCCCCCACGGCCGGCGACGCTTCTGTTGCCAAGCGTTCGTTTGCACATGTCACATGGCCTTGTGTATTTCGTTGTTGTTGTTTGCGTTGTTTCCTTTCTGATCTGACGATCGCCTTCGCAGCAACGACTGTTTAAGGTGGATCGGATGCAAACGTGGCCTTGGTGGTTGATTTGCTTCGCTAGTGCGCCAAGTGTCTTTCGAGATCCAGGGCGCGTGCGGTTCTGACAAGTAGCTACGGTCATCGTCGCAGCTAGGAACTTCACCGTCGCAAGATGTTGGCGCCAATGCAATATGCAGTATGACCTTCACAGCCAGTGTCATGCGCCAACTTACGCACGTCCACCTGTCGTTCAAGCGCTCTGTGGCACAACTACTGCTCGAACACTCAGTGGTGTGGCTCTGTTGCCCAAGGCAGCAGCGCCTTTCGCCAGCAGCCCCCAGCGCGCTGCAGCGCAGGGTGGCAGCTCGGGTGCAGCGCTGGCCGCCGCTCCCCCTGCACTTCCTTCGGCGACGCCCGAACATGCGCACACGGCGGCGCACCGGGCCCGAACGGGCCGAGGGCCGCGGCCTCGGCCCGGAGGCCCGGGCACGGCCTGGAACCGCCTCTGGGGCCGCCCGAGATCGCCAGGGAAGGCCACCAGAGGGCCATTCCTCACCGAGCGCGTTCCACGACTCGCAAGGTGCCTGCTTGCAAACGCCCGAGTTAGCCTGGCGAAGGGCCCAACCATATGCAGCCGTGAGCACCGCAGTGATGAGTATCATCTTCGCCCGCGCTCCCGATGGGGCCACGAACCGTGTGAGTGGCGTGCCGACATGCGTTGCGGGGCACACAACGCGAGCGATGACGATAGGTCTGTGTGCGAGAGACCGAATTGAGACCGAGTGAGTCTGATTGTGGATGAGTTCGTGCCCGCGTGAGTCTACGTGCATAAATGTCGACGCCCATGTCGGCGCGCTTCTCACGAGGATCGCGCCCGCTTCCTTCCCGTTTTTCTTCTCCCTCGTTGCCCGTGCACGCCCACGTCCAAGGCTGTGGGCGCGGCGCCGCACGGAGTCCCCGCGATGCGCGCTGGTCGCCCCGAAGGGGTCCCGGCGACGCGCGCGGGTCGACCGCTGCGCGGAGCAGAAAGAGCGAACAGGTTGGCTCCCGCCCTGGATGCGCGGCCCGAAAGTGGCCCCATTACGTCGAACGCGACGAGATAACACCAGAAATCAAAAGTCGCCGCCATGCGAACTCGGCCACTGGGCCGCCATGCGAGTACCGCCCGCCACGGAGAACCTCAGGTGGAGCTTCCTATGGGGCCACGAAACGTTGTATTGGGTGGTGGGTGACGCATGCGGGCGGTCCCACCGGGGCCTCCGGTGGAGCCCCTTATGGGAGCCACGAAATGCTGGGCTGGGTGGTGGATGACGCACGCGGGCGGTCCCACTGGGGCGTTCGGTGGAGCTCCCTATGGGGTCACGAAGCGTTGTGCTGGGTGGTGGAAGACGCATGCGCGCGGTCCCACTGGGACCTTCGGAGGAGCTCCCCATGGGGCCACGAAGTGTTGCACTGGGTGGTGGATGACGCACGCGGGTGGTCCCACTGGAGCTCTCTATGGGGCCACGAAATGCTGCGCTGGGTGGTGGATGACGCACGCGGGCGGTCCCACTGGAGCCTTCGGTGGTGCTTCCTATGAAGCCACGAAGTGCTGTGCTGGGTGGGGGATGACGCATGCGGGCGCTCCCACTGGGGCCTTCGGAGGAGCTCCCTTTGGGGCCACGAAACGCTGTGCTGCGTGGTGGATGACGCACGTGGGCGGTCCCATTGGGGCCTTCGGTGGAGCCCCCTTTATGGGGCCACGAAGCGTTGTACTGGGTGGTGGATGACGCACTCGGGCGGTCCCAGTGGAGCCTCCGGTGGGGCTCTCTATGGGGCCACGAAATGCTGTACTGGGTGGTGGATGACGCATGCGGGCGGTCCCACCGGGGCCTTAGGTGGAGTTCCCCAAAGCGCTGTGCTGGGTGGTGGATGACGCACGCGGGCGGTCCCATTGAGGCCTCCGGCGGAGCCCCCTTCTGGATAGCCTGGCGAAGGACCCAACCATACGCAGCTCTGAATACCGCAATTATGAGTCTCATCTTCGCCCGCGCTCCTTATGGGGCCACGAACCGTGTGAGGGGCGTGCCGACATGCGTGGCGGGGCACACAACGCGAGCGATGACGATAGGTCTGTGTGCGAGAAACTGAATTGAGACCGAGTGAGTCTGATTGTGGATGAGTTCGTGCCCGCGTGAGTCTACGTGCATAAATGTCGACGCCCATGTCGGCGCGCTTCTCACGAGGATCGCGCCCGCTTCCTTCCCGTTTTTCTTCTCCCTCGTTGCCCGTGCACGCCCACGTCCAAGGCTGTGGGCGCGGCGCCGCACGGAGTCCCCGCGATGCGCGCTGGTCGCCCCGAAAGGGGTCCCGGCGACGCGCGCGGGTCGTCCGCTGCGCGGAGCAGAAAGAGCGAGCAGGCTGGCTCCCGCCCGGGATGCGCGGCCCGGAAACGGCCCCATTACGTCGAATGCGACGAAAAACCACAAGAAATCAAAAGTTTCGCCATACGAACTCGGCCATGGGGCCGCCATGCGTGTACCGCCATGGAGACCTTAGGTGGGGCTTCCTATGGGGCCACGAAGCGCTGTATTGGGTGGTGGATGACGCATGCGGGCGGTCCCACCGGGGCCTTCGGTGGAGCCCCCGATGGGGCCACGAAGCGCTGTACCAGGTGGTGGATGACGCACGCGGGCGGTCCCACGGAGGCCTTCGGTGGGGCCCTCTATGGGGCCACGAAGCGCTGTACTGGGTGAAGGGTGACGCATGCGGGCTGCCCCACTGGAGCCTTCAGTGGAGCTCCCTAAGGGGCCACGAAACGCTGCGCTGGGCGGTGGATGAGCGCGGGCGGCCCCACGGGGGCGAAATGTTATGCTCGGTGGTGGAAGAAGCACGCGGGCGGTCCCACTGGGGCCTTCGGTGGAGCTCCCTATGGGGCCACGAAATTCCGTACTGGGTGGTGGATGACGCACGCGGGCGGTCCCACTGGAGCCTTCGGTGGAGCTCTCTATGGGGCCACGAAATGTTATGCTCGGTGGTGGATGACGCATGCGGGCGGTCCCACTGGAGCCTTCGGCGGAGCTCCTTGTGAAACCACGCAATGCTGTGCTGGGTGGTGGATGACGCACGCGGGCGGTCCCATTGGGGTTTCCGGTGGAGCTCTCTATGGGGCCACGAAACGCTGTACTGGGTGGTGGATGACGCATGCGGGCGGTCCCACCGGGGCCTTCGGTGGAGCGCTCTATGGGGTCACGAAGCGCTGGACTGGGTGGTGGATGACGCATGCGGGCCACTGGGGCCTTGGGTGAAACCCTTTGTGGACCCACGAAACGCTGTACTGGGTAGTGGATGACGCATGCGGGCAGCCCCACTGGAGCCTTCAGTGGAGCTCCCTAATGGGCCACGAAACGCTGCGCTGGGCGGTGGATGAAGCACGCGGGCGGTCCCACGGAGGTTTTCGGCGGAACTCCCTATAAGGCCACGAAATGTCATGCTCGGTGGTGGAAGACGCATGCGGGCGGTCCCACTGGGGCCTTCGGTGGATCTCCCTATGGGGCCACGAAATTCTGAATTGGGTGGTGGATGACGCACGCGGGCGGTCCCACTGGAGCCTTCGGTGGAGCTCTCCAGAGGGCCACGGAACGCTGTACTGGGTGGTGGATGACGCAAGCGGGCGGTCCCACTGGAGCCTTCGGTGGAGCTCCCTATGGGGCCACGAAATGAGGGAGGAACGGGAGGAGGAGGAAGGAAGGGAGGAAAGAGGGGGGGAACGCGGGGACCGTCTCTTCAAAACGAGGGCCCAACAACACAGGCTGGTTGGGAATAAGGGTAATCGATGAGTACGGCCTTCCCGCCTGTTCGACCAGGAGGCCCAAATACGCTTTCAAAAAGGTCCCAAGGGGCCCCAGGAGGGTCCCCAGGACGCCCCAAGAGGCTTCAGAAGACCCCCGTGAGGCTCCCAGGAGGCCTCGCAAACGTTCCCCGAGGCCTCCGAGAACCCCAAATTGGGTTCAGGACGCTCCAATTGTTTTCAAGAGGCCACAAGTGGCCCCAGGAGGTCCGAAGAGGCCCCCCAGGGACGCTCAGGACAGCGCCAGAGACCCGAACGCCACAGATAATTTCGGAACCTTCAAACACCGAAATGGAAGTCGATATGTTGGCCTTTTCGCCTTCTCGCTTCGGATGGGCTGCTCACGCCTCCACGAGGTCTGGGAGGCCCAGAGACGCGTTGAAAAAGGTCCCAACGAGGCTTCAAGAATCCCCATGAAGCTACCAAGAGACCCCCAGACGCCCACAGAGGCCTCCAAGATGCCCCCGAGAGGCTTCCAAGAGGCCTCGGCCTCCAGGAGGCTTCACAAGCGTTCCACGAGGCCTCCAAGAATCCACAAAGGTTTCCAGGACGCCGCCAATAGTCTCCAAGAGGCCAAATGTGCCTCCAAGGGGTCAGGAAAGGCCCCCAGGGACGCTCAGGACAGTCCCGGAGACCTCCGGGAGACCCTCCACAACGCCTCAAGGTCAAGGTCAAACCTGTATGCCCGCGAAGGGGCGGCCGCTTAAGGTGAAAACTAGCAGACGCTCACGTGGTGAACAAAATCTCCTGTCCTACAACTCCAAGAACGTAGGTCTTTGGCTGCTGCACTCCAGTCGCCGATCCCGTACTTGTCGCAGAAATACTGGACATCAGATTCCCACATCTTCCGCGGTCTTCCTTGGGACCTGTTGCCGGCAGGTGACCATGCAAGAACGCGTGACAGCCATCTGTCGGCAGGCAGGTTGGCGACGTACCCGGCGAAGTTCCAGTATTGGCGAAGCAATGCTTCCGACCAAACATTGGTCTGAGTGCCTTGCAACTGTTCCGTAACACGCTCGTGCCACACATGCAATATCTCATGCCATGGGTTGTTCCAGTCGACCCCGCCTGGCGGCCCGACAATTTGTCGAAGAGGCTTGCGACACGCAGCGTCCAGCTTCTTCCTCTCGGTTGCTAGAACACGCGGTGAGCAGAACCAAACATGGCAATCGGAGTGATGACGGCATGGAAGTAGTCCAAGCGCAGCTCAACCGGTACACGCTTCGTTGCGAACATCCACCGGCTCGCGAAGGAAGCCCTTGTAGCAGCTTGAAGATGGTATTCCTGGTCCTGCTTCACAACGTCGTTCGACAAAGTGCATCCTGACCATTTGTGAGAGTTCACACGTTTGATATATACATATATATACACATACACATACACCAGAGGGAAGCAAGAGCTTGTCCGGTGGTTGCGGTTCGGTCGTCAGGGTTACAGTTTTGTCGGCGTTCAGCATCAGGCAATTGCGGCGAGCTCCTCAACCAGCGACGTCAGAAGATTCGCAGCCTCTTTTTGCGATCTCGCGAACAATACTACGTCGTCAGCAAACCGTAAATCCAATAATCGACGCAATCCGTCTCCCAAGTCAAAACCTGCTGCCCCAGACTCCCGACGCCAACGGGCCATCGCCCATTCCAAGAAATAGCAGAAGAGCCTTGGGCTGAGAACGCAACCCTGTCGGACCCCAGCTCGGATGTCAAAAGGGTCGTTACGCTGAGAATTGCCCTTCACCTGCCCGGTCTGTTTCTCGTAAAGCACCTGCAATATCCATATGAGGTGGTCCGAGATACCGTTCCCGCGCAAAGCCGACCACAGAGCAGACCAATTCACACGATCAAAA